AACTTGGTCATTCTGATTTGTGAAACCTTTCAGAGGTCAGTTTGGGTCAGTTAACCCTTCCCTAAATGGTTAACTAGGTCATTCTGATTTGTAAAAACTTTTACAGATCAGTTTGGGTCAGTTAACCCTTCCCTGAGTCGGTAACTAGGTCATTCAGATTTGTGAAAACTTTCACAGATCAGTGTGTGTCAGTTAACCCTTCCCTGAGTGGTTAACTAGGTCATTCTGATTTGTGAAAACTTTCACAGATCAGTGTGGGTCAGTTAACCCTTCCCTTAGTGGTTAACTTGGTCATTCTGATTTGTGAAACCTTTCAGAGGTCAGTTTGGGTCAGTTAACCCTTCCCTGAGTCGGTAACTAAGTCATTCTGATTTGTGAAAACTTTCACAGATCAGTGTGGTTCAGTTAAACCTTCCCTGAGTGGTTAACTAGGTCATTCTGATTTGTGAAAACTTTCACAGATCAGTGTGGGTCAGTTAACCCTTCCCTGAGTGGTTAACTAGGTCATTCTGATTTGTGAAACCTTTCAGAGGTCAGTTTGGGTCAGTTAACCCTTCCCTGAGTCGGTAACTAGGTCATTCTGATTTGTGAAAACTTTCACAGATCAGTGTGGTTCAGTTAACCCTTCCCTGAGTGGTTAACTAGGTCATTCTGATTTGTGAAAACTTTCACAGATCAGTGTGGGTCAGTTAACCCTTCCCTGAGTGGTTAACTAGGTCATTCTGATTTGTGAAAACTTTCACAGATCAGTTTGGGTCAGTTAACCCTTCCCTTAGTGGTTAACTAGGTCATTATGATTTGTGAAAACTTTCACAGATCAGTGTGGGTCAGTTAACCCTTCCCTGAGTGGTTAACTAGGTCATTCTGATTTGTGAAACCTTTCAGAGGTCAGTGTGAGTCAGTTAACCCTTCCCTGAGTGGTTAACTTGGTCATTCTGATTTGTGAAACCTTTCAGAGGTCAGTGTGGGCCAGTTAACCCTTCCCTGAGTAGTTAACTTGGCCATTCTGATTTGTGAAACCTTTCAGAGGTCAGTTTGGCTCAGATAACCTTTCCCTGAGTGGTTAACTACGTCATTCTGATTTGTGAAAACTTTCAAAGATCTTTGTGGGTCAGTTAACCCTTCCCTGAGTGGTTAACTAAGTCATTCTGATTCATGAAACCTTTTTAGAGGTCAGTGTGGGTCAGTTAACCCTTCCCTGAGTGGTTAACTTGGTCATTCTGATTTGTGAAACCTTTCAGAGGTCAGTGTGGGTCAGTTAACCCTTCCCTGAGTAGTTAACTTGGTCATTCTGATTTGTGAAACCTCTCAGAGGTCAGTTTGGGTCAGATAACCTTTCCCTGAGTGGTTAACTAGGTCATTCAGATTTGTGAAAACTTTTACAGATCAGTTTGGGTCAGTTAACCCTTCCCTGAGTGGTTAACTAGGTCATTCAGATTTGTGAAACCTTTCAGAGGTCAGTGTGGGTCAGTTAACCCTTCCCTGAGTGGTTAACTAGGTCATTCTGATTTGTGAAACCTTTCAGAGGTCAGTTTGGGTCAGATAACCTTTCCCTGAGTGGTTAACTAGGTCATTCTGATTTGTGAAAACTTTCACAGATCTTTGTGGGTCAGTTAACCCTTCCCTGAGTGGTTAACTAAGTCATTCTGATTCATGAAACCTTTTTAGAGGTCAGTGTGGGTCAGTTAACCCTTCCCTGAGTAGTTAACTTGGTCATTCTGATTTGTGAAACCTTTCAGAGGTCAGTTTGGGTCAGATAACCTTTCCCTGAGTGGTTAACTAGGTCATTCTGATTTGTGAAAACTTTCACAGATCTTTGTGGGTCAGTTAACCCTTCCCTGAGTGGTTAACTAAGTCATTCTGATTCATGAAACCTTTTTAGAGGTCAGTGTGGGTCAGTTAACCCTTCCCTGAGTAGTTAACTTGGTCATTCTGATTTGTGAAACCTTTCAGAGGTCAGTTTGGGTCAGATAACCTTTCCCTGAGTGGTTAACTGTGTCATTCTGATTTGTGAATACTTTCACAGATCTTTGTGGGTCAGTTAACCCTTCCCTGAGTGGTTAACTAGGTTATTCTGATTTGTGAAACCTTTCAGAGGTCAGTGTGGGTCAGTTAACCCTTCCTTGAGTGGTTAACTTGGTCATTCTGATTTGTGAAACCTTTCAGAGGTCAGTGTGGGTCAGTTAACCCTTCCCTGAGTAGTTAACTTGGTCATTCTGATTTGTGAAACCTTTCAGAGGTCAGTGTGGGTCAGTTAACCCTTCCCTGAGTGGTTAACTAGGTCATTCAGATTTGTGAAAACTTTCACAGATCAGTGTGGGTCAGTTAACACTTCCCTGAGTGGTTAACTTGGTCATTCAGATTTGTGAAACCTTTCAGAGGTCAGTGTGGGTCAGTTAACCCTTCCCTGAGTGGTTAACTAGGTAATTCTGATTTGTGAAAACTTTTACAGATCTTTGTGGGTCAGTTAACCCTTCCCTGAGTGGTTAACTTGGTCATTCTGATTTGTGAAACCTTTCAGAGGTCAGTGTGGGTCAGTTAACCCTTCCCTGAGTAGTTAACTTGGTCATTCTGATTTGTGAAACCTTTCAGAGGTCAGTTTGGGTCAGATAACCTTTCCCTGAGTGGTTAACTAGGTCATTCAGATTTGTGAAAACTTTAACAGATCAGTGTGGGTCAGTTAACCCTTCCCTGAGTGGTTAACTTGGTCATTCTGATTTGTGAAACCTTTCAGAGGTCAGTGTGGGTCAGTTAACCCTTCCCTGAGTAGTTAACTTGGTCATTCTGATTTGTGAAACCTTTCAGAGGTCAGTTTGGGTCAGATAACCTTTCCCTGAGTGGTTAACTAGGTCATTCTGATTTGTGAAAACTTTCACAGATCTTTGTGGGTCAGTTAACCCTTCCCTGAGTGGTTAACTTGGTCATTCAGATTTGTGAAACCTTTCAGAGGTCAGTGTGGGTCAGTTAACCCTTCCCTGAGTGGTTAACTTGGTCATTCAGATTTGTGAAACCTTTCACAGATCAGTTTGGGTCAGTTAACCCTTCCCTGAGTGGTTAACTAGGTCATTCAGATTTGTGAAAACTTTCAGAGGTCAGTTTGGGTCAGTTAACCCTTCCCTGAGTGGTTAACAGGTCATTCTGATTTGTGAAAACTTTTACAGATCAGTTTGGGTCAGTTAACCCTGGTTAATGTCAATGTTAACGCTGCGATCAAGTTTGTCCAGTTTAACGCAGCATCATCCTTGTATTGTAACTATCGTTACATTATATGAACTGCAAAAGCTTGTTTTGCATCTATGCGCGATTAGACTAAAGAGAACGCGCTGTATGTGAATGTCCTGATGCACACACTCATTCATTCATTCCATTCCAATGATGCACACACGGCGCGCAGAAAGACGCGCAACAGTATCGTGTGGCCAGACAGCGCGCAGGAGTGGAATTCTCTTTCGCACTTGAACAACAATAACACAAACCATTAAGCCAAAATCTCCGACTACGGAAGCCTGTTAACCCTTCCCTGAGTGATTAACTAGGTCATTCTGATTTGTGAAACCTATCAGAGGTCAGTGTGGGTCAGTTAACCCTTCCCTGAGTCGGTAACTAGGTCATTCTGATTTGTGCAAACTTTCACAGATCAGTTTGGGTCAGTTAACCCTTCCCTGAGTGGTTAACTAGGTCATTCTGATTTGTGAAAACTTTCACAGATCAGTGTGGGTCAGTTAATCCTTCCCTGAGTGGTTAACTAGGTCATTCTGATTTGTGAAAACTTTCAGAAGTCAGTTTGGGTCAGTTAACCCTTCCCTGAGTGGTTAACTAGGTCATTCTGATTTGTGAAAACTTTCACAGATCAGTGTGGGTCAGTTAATCCTTCCCTGAGTGGTTAACTAGGTCATTCAGATTTGTGAAACGTTTCAGAGGTCAGTGTGGGTCAGTTAACCCTTCCCTGAGTGGTTAACTTGGTCATTCAGATTTGTGAAAACTTTCAGAGGTCAGTGTGGGTCAGTTAACCCTTCCCTGAGTGGTTAACTAGGTCATTCTGATTTGTGAAAACTTTCACAGATCAGTGTGGGTCAGTTAACCCTTCCCTGAGTGGTTAACTAGGTCATTCTGATTTGTGAAAACTTTCAGAAGTCAGTTTGGGTCAGTTAACCCTTCCCTGAGTGGTTAACTAGGTCATTCAGATTTGTGAAACGTTTCAGAGGTCAGTGTGGGTCAGTTAACCCTTCCCTGAGTGGTTAACTAGGTCATTCTGATTTGTGAAAACTTTCAGAAGTCAGTTTGGGTCAGTTAACCTTTCCCTGAGTGGTTAACTAGGTCATTCAGATTTGTGAAACGTTTCAGAGGTCAGTGTGGGTCAGTTAACCCTTCCCTGAGTGGTTAACTAGGTCATTCAGATTTGTGAAAACTTTTACAGATCAGTTTGGGTCAGTTAACCCTGGTTAATGTCAATGTTAATGCTTGCGATTAAGTTTGTCCAGTTTAACGCAGCATCATCCTTGTATTGTAACTATCGTTACATTATATGAACTGCAAAAGCTTGTTTTGCATCTATGCGCGATTAGACTAAAGAGAACGCGCTGTATGTGAATGTCCTGATGCACACACTCATTCATTCATTCCATTCCAATGATGCACACACGACGCGCAACAGTATCGTGTGGCCAGACAGCGCCCCGGAATGGAATTCTCTTTCGCACTTGAACAACAATAAAACAAACCATTAAGCCAAAATCTCCGACTACGGAAGCCTGTTAACTCAAAAGCGCAGTGCTTTCTTGCAATTGGGTCGGTTCATGTTCACACCGTAAACGAACCGTACCAGAGTTCGTTTGGAACCGTACCGAGACCACCTCTTCAGCTGGGTCTCGGTTCGGTTGTTTGGTCCGCACCCGAGTTCGATTGCTGTATTCACACCTGCCCAAAAGGTCCACACCAAGGGGGGAAACGAACTAGAGTTCGATTCAATCGAACCAAACAAGGCAGGTGTGAATACACCCTAAGTTTCATTGGCCTCCATCTGATCTTACACCAATCTTTTCTGCCAAGAATGTTGTGGCGCATTTGAAAGAACCTCCTAAAATGCAATTGCAAACAGTCCCAGAAATTGTAATTATAGCTTAATTAAATGCAAGAAACAATGAAATGTAAAAGTACCTAAAACTTTTTCCAGCTTTCTTTGCTAGTGCCTCCTCGTTTGAACCAAAAGGGTCTAGAACTGAGACCTCTTTTGAAGCAGCATTTAGAATCTGGAATAAAAAAAAAAGACTACATATATTAATCACATTACAATATTTTATACAGATAAAAACTGGCATGCAAATAATACCTAATGAAACTCATTACTACATGCAACCCTTTTAATTGTTTTGTAAATATAGCCAAATGTAGTCAGGTTGTTACCTGATATCAAATAATGTTTGCAAATTGAGGAATAGTTTAACATCAAACCCCCTTTTCTTTAATAATTTAATAACATCTTTATTTGTTTTTTTTTCATGTAATTTTTTTTTTTTTTTTTTTTTTTTTGGTTACATGCTATTGTTGATGATTTGTCGATTGTGAAGTACTCATCTGGTATATCATTTGCTGTAGTCATCTATGTATATAATGGTCTCGTTGACTGATGAACAGCAAAATGGCTGGAGTAATGCATAAATATATGACCACCATATTCAAAACTCACCACCAAGGCCCAGTGGTTCTCATTTACATTCAGTGGTGCAACGGCTGCATCATAGTCCTCAAATTTCACCTAAAAAAAAAAAAAAAAAAATTACATGCAATTTAAGCAATGGAACAATTAATGAAAAAGACATGATAAATAAATCAAAATGCAAGAAGATCAGTTAAATTGAGCTTAAGTGTTGTTTAATTTCAATAGTGTGAAATAAATAGAAAATACATAAAAAAATTAAGACACTTCCATAGCATAACATCTAAACAGGCATGGCATAAATATACAAATATATTTAACAAATTTTAGTGCTACATTTATGGAATTGCATGCATGCAAATATGTTGTTAAATCTCAAATCAAAAATGTTTTATTTTATTGTTAAGTCCTTACCTTTGACATTAACTGTCTCTTTACCACCTCATCTTCCCCATCCATTATCACACTAGCAGTGTAATTATTTATGATCATTACTTTTTTTCCTGCTTCATGTTGAGTTTTCACCATCCAGAGGTAGAATTCAATGGTCTATATTTAATGGGCACAACATAAATTAACATGTTAATCACATACAGTGTAATGAACATTAAACATAATTATTTAATATCTTCTATTGGTTGTCAAGCATTGGCATTTCAAACGTATTTAAAAGCCATTACAATACCAGGTATATTTTTGGGGTAGGGTTTGGGTTATTTACTGATCTAAATAATAATCATCAATGCAGGTAATTTTGAAAAAAAAAAGTAAAGACAATTACATTATGACAACAAAGGACTTTTGAGATGATGTATCTTGAATTGTCCACTACTTTAAGATAATGTTAAAATTATTAACATTAAAGAAGTTCATACAGTTCTATGTTACATATCAAACAAAGTGTTAATATTACAAGTTTAAATGTTTCTCTGACATCATGTACTACTAAAGAAATAGTGAGATAAGGATTTTAAAGAATTAATAATGTGTTGCACCGTAGAAATTTTGCTTAAAAAAGTTTTTTTTGTTTTTTTGTTTAGTCATATTGATAAATCTTTTTAAAAATTATGATAACAGCAGATTGATGATTGATGTCCATTATTTCACCTAAAAAATCTTACCTCTCCACATAGCCATTGTTGGGGACACAGTGTTTTGAAGTCTTTTACTCTCAAAACCAAAGTGTGCTTGTGGTTTTCTCGGCTTAAGGGCAGAGCAGCGATGACAGCCTCTTCGATGTCTGTCTTCCAGAGAGCATGCATCTATAAGAAAGTTTTTATTTGCATGTTATGTTTTTCACAGAACACAAATTTTTCACAATAATAATAATAATAATTCATTACATTTATATAGCGCTTTAAAGGAAACATTAAACATTATACAACATTAAAGGAAAAAAGATTACCTTTTCTTGAGGATCTTTGATTGCAGCCATGTCTGACCATGTCTTTAGCTGCTTGGTGTTGTCAAGTTGGACACCTTCCTCACATACTTCAAAATCATCTTCTTGAATTGCAATGTCAGTTTTGCTATGACTAACAGAGATGCTTTTTTTTCTCCTTTTGTCTATCTTTTTGTTTTTTTGGGACTGGCATGATTGGAGGGACACTATAATACTTGGACTTTTTGTGTGTGGCAAGTCTTTTGGTCCACTGCTCCTCAGTTAGCTCCATTGCTTCCTTTTTTCTTTGGAACATTTGGATCCAACTGAGAAACCATGTCCAATCATGTGTTCCCTGTAGCGTCCTTTTAAAGAAGAATGAAGTGTGCAGATAAAATCTGCTGGCCTCATTTTTCGACGTCTTTGTAGGATGGAGTTTTTTACAATTCCAAACCAACATTCTACGTGGCTGTTAGTATCCCTGGTTCTCTTACAATCTTTTGCTATTGCTTGTGGTTGTTTTTTGAACTCTGAGGCATACTGTTCCATGTTTCCAAGGAAAATGCCACTCCATAGTGGGAAGAGGCCCAAGTAGTGCCCTGTCAGGAGAGTGACAACCTCTTCACACTTGTAGATGTTGTCTTCCGCACTGCTAATTGTGTCTTCTTTCTCCATTAGCTCCATAGCCTCTTCCATTACTTTACCAAACTCAGAGGTAAACTGGGAGCGTCCAATTATTGTGTTTTGACATTGGAATGTCATCTTCTGCAGGGATGCATGCCTTGAGGGAAATGTCATCCTCAACATCCAAATCGATTTGCTTTATGTAGGTTTTGAGTTTGTCAACTCCCGCTTCTACAGTTGGTGTGTTTTTTTCAGCCAAAAAGACAAAGCACATCTGCAGAAAGATTGCTTTAGCTTGCTCAAGACTGGTGCTGTTTTGCAAAAGTGCAAAGCAGAAAACAGCAAAGTTGTGCAACCCTTTGTCTTTTGTCACTTTGCTGACTGCATTTGAGATGGTTTGCATCATGTGTGCAGCACAGATATGCACCACTGTGAATCTCATTAGGTCCTTCTTCTGGAGTCTGTAATGACAGATTTTGTGTGCCCTGTCCAAGTAAGTGTCAACATTTTCTTTGTTGAATGACAACAGAACACTTTGGATCAATGCCCAGCTAAAATCTGTCTCGATGTGATGTTCTTTGACTGAAGTCAACTTGCAGACATTGTGCACAAATTTCAGAAGCCAACTTGAAATATTTGGCACATTGTGTTCATTTGTCAACAGCTCAGAAACTGGAAGCGGAGGTTTGTTTACACCATCTCCTGGGAGAACAAGAGCGTAGTACAGTACTCTCTCATCCTGATTTGGTATCTTGCTCACTATTCCTCCAGTTGCATCAAGATAGAGGGATGTGTTATGGTTTTTTCCGGAGGTGGGACACAAGGATTCCCATTCCCTGTTCTGTGTACATTTGCACTGTAAAAGGGTCAACTTGCAAATGCTGCATATACCCAGGGCAGTTGAAAAATCCTGTCACACTCTTTGAGTATTTTTTGAGTTATCATCAGTTCCATAACAACATTGTCATGAAACCTCTGACTCCTTTTGAACTCGGAGGATATAGTTTTGAGAACATTCCTTGTGAGGCATTTCGAAATGTTCCCAGCCATGAGCTCTTCATTTGGAGTGGAACTCAGTTCCCTTTCAAGGGAACTTCGAGCTGCGTTTGAGACGCGGTGGGAACGCTCTGCGTGATTGCGTCATGAAGCACGTGTAAAATCAGTCCAATGGAAGCCCGATACGTCATGGGTGACGTCATAGACCAGGAAACTATAAAGCACCCTTGAAAACAGACCGCGACAGCTTCTGTTGTCTTCAGCAAGCGCTCTCTGTGATTCTGTCCTTGTCTATTTATTGTTGTTTGTCAAGCCCAATATATATATCACTATCTATCATTATGGCGAGCAAAGCAATATTATAGACGTTGTGTTGTTCCCTGCCCTCGTTACATCACGGGTGGGGACACACATCAGCTTTTTGTTGCTGTTTGGGAGTGGAGCATGCAACAATCATTTCTCGAGGGATCTGACTGTGCATTGCGAGAAGCTGTCCGTGAGGACGCTCCGCTCCCGGCGGGCGTTCTTCGAGGAGGACGGTTAGGTTCGCGTTCCCCGAGCGGGTCTCTCTGTTGCCGAGGCTCGGAGACGGCTCGTATTTCGGGGTTCGAAAACGGATCTGACAGCGTGGGTTGGGACGGGCTCCGCCCTTTCTCAGCTTTCACATGCCAGATCTAGTGTGCTGCGATTTCCAGTTCCGAGGAATTGGTATCGTTAGTGTTTTGTTTAAAAAGAAAGAGAACAAAACAAATACAAATCTTTATAAAAAGGCAGATGTTTGAGTTTTCAATGAATAAATTTTCCAGCTCATAACTCTGTTGAATAAAGAGGAGCTTTTTTAAAGAAAAAAGGAGGTTTTATCTAGTGCTGTTGCCAGTTAAATATTTACTGGCCAGCTGAACATTATGAGATTGAAAATAAAGAAGAGTTTGTTAGATGAACTGTATCTTAAAACAGGAAAACTCTGTATCTCAGCCTCCTCGTCGGGGACTGTGGTTTTTCCCTATCTCCACACTGAGGTGTCGAGATCGTGGAATAAACCGGTTTGTATTTTATGTGTTTGATCCCCAGATGTCTGACTATAGTAATGTTTGGGTATTAAGTATCATAGTATGACATTGCCTCGGGTTAAAGAGACGCTTGCGAGCTTTCTCTCTCCCGAGTCGGCGTTATCGTTATTAACCCCGACGTTACCCACCAGCCATCTTAATAATGAATACATTTTTATTAGGCAGCGCTGGTGGGTAGAGTATATAAGGACATGGATGAATGTGAGGGGCGACTCTCTGAGGAGGGTCGCAGCGCTGCCAGTTCGGTTGTTTCCTGCTGGTGGCCGCAGAGTGATATATATGTATATATATATATATATAAGTTTTTTCTGATATAAAGATAAAGGAAAATAAAGATATAATTATGTCTGTTCTTCTGGACGCTCCGCTTTCAAGAAAACTAAGAAATAAACCATTCAGCGGCGTTCCAGAGGTTTCTTCCTCACCAATCTAATGTTCCTGAGACGGCCTATTATGCTCCTCTCAGCACAAAGTGCAAAACAGAGCGTCGCCATTCGGGCTCCTCCGCAATTGAGGGGTACCTGGGTGGCGGTCACAGTCTAGCCAGTTAGAGACATGCAAGATCTGAGGACTGTTTTATCTCTAAAATAGCTTTGACAAAGAAGAAGCCCTGACGCCGAGGCGATCAGGCTTCTAAGGGTGGTCCCCTCTGGGGAAGGGACGGTTTTGAGAAATCGTTTCTCCTCAACGCCCTTTGGGGTGCCACTCTCTGAGGAGGGTCGCAGTACTGCCAGTTCGGTTTCCCTGCCGGTTCGCCGTTTCAGGGCACCAAGGTGTCAGTGTCCCCAAACGAGCCTTCAAATAAGAAAAAAGAAGAGCAGTCAGTTCGGTTTCCCTGCCGGTTCGCCGTTTCAGGGCGCCGAAGTGCCTGCTTTTTTCAACGATCTTCCGAAAAAAAGGAGGGTCGTAGGAACTAAGCTAGTTAGAGGTAGGCAAGATCTGAGGACTGTCATCATCTCTAATAAAGCTTAGACAAGAAGTCTTGTCGCAAGAAAACGAGGCTATCAGGCTTCTGAGGGCTCCTCCGGGGCAGGGACGGTTTTGAGA